AAATGAAGGTGTTATAGGGTCCAGGTATCACTTTCAGCTCCTTGCCAGAAGTCCATAATGCAATACCCCAATACCCAATTCTGATCACTTGGGGCCCTAGACTACCTTTCTTAGACCGAAGCCAGAGTTACAAGTCAGGACGAATCGTCAGCCACCGGGGTGATAGACGTTGTTGCATGAGTTGGACAGCCATATACCTTTACCCCTCAACCCTAAACCCGAAACCCCAAACCCTAACCCTAAGCTCTTAAAGCGAAGACGAAACTCCAATACTGATTTATCAGGCTCGACCATCCCTTCGCCCCCTTCAACCCTGAAGCTCCGTTAACCCGAGGCCCTAAACTCCTAAACTGCAAGCCCTAAGCCCCTAAACCCAAAGCCCTAAGCCCTAAGCCCTAAACCCCTAAGCTCCTAAACCCTAAACCCTCTTCATTCCCTAAACCCGAAGCCTCAAGCTCTTAAACCCTGAACCTAAAACCCCTAAATCCTAAATCCGAGGCCTGAACACAAGGGTTTAGCGTTTAGGGTTTAGGCTTTAGGGTTTAGGGTTTAGGGTTTAGGGTTTAGGCTTAGTATTTGATGGACCGTTATCAGTTCTCAGGTTTTAGTCCAACTCGGAGCCCAAAGTTGTGTGACAGTGACAATTGGCGCCACCTGGAGCATCAGTTGAACTTGCACACTCTCAAGCCCTAATCCCTAAACCTTAAACCCGAAACCCTAAACCCTGAACCCTGAAACCCTAAACCCAAAACCCTAAACCCACAGTTGTCGACTTTTAGCCCTGAACCCCAAGTTCGAGCTAAACCCTAATGCACCCTAGATAATAAACCCAAATACCCTAATACCCTAACACCCCAAACCCGAAACCTTAAACCCTATGCCTATTCCCTAAACCCTGAACCCTAAACCCTAAACCCCAAACCCAGAGTCCCCTAAATCGCACAGGACTTGCTTCGACATGCCGGGAGCTCGGATCGGATTGTCGTGTTGTGCATGGGTTTCTTGGGCACTCAGATTGATCAGGGCTTTGGCGTTTAGGGTTTAGGGTTTGGCGTTCAGGGTCTAGGGTTTAGGGTTTGGGTTTCGGCTTTCGCGTTTAGGGTTTCAGGGTTTAAGGTAGCTTTTGGGGTTTAGGGTTTGAGGGTCGTCATTCTCAGACATTGGTGTTGTGTCTTGGTTTTGCTGCGGAGAGTGGTCTTGAGTCTTGTTGGCATTGCCGCCTTAATTCCTAAGCCCTAAACCCTAAACCCTTAAATCCCAAACCCTAAACCCCAAACCCTAAATCCTAAACCCCAAACCCCAAACCCTAAATCCTAAACCCTAAATCCAAAACCCGAAACCTTAAATCCAAAACCCAAAACCCTAAACCTTAAATCCAAAACCCAAAACCCCAAAACCCTAAATCCTAAACCCTAAACCCCAAACCCGAAACCTTAAATCCCAAACCAAAACCCAAAACCCGAAACCTTAAATCCAAAACCCAAAGCCCTAAACCTTAAATCCAAAACCCAAAACCCCAAAACCCTAAATCCTAAACCCTAAACCACAAAACCCGAAAACCGAAAACCCAAAACCCTAAACCTTAAATCCAAAACCCTAAATCCTTAACCCAAAAACCCAAAGCCCTACGTAGTCTTCAAGTCCCTAAAACCCTAAACCCTAAACCCTGAACCCTAAACCCTAAACCCTAAACCCTAAACCCTAAAGCCCTAAATCCTAAACCCTAAACCCGTTTTAAAGCTTCGGAGTGGCCACGCTGGGCTTCCCCAGGTGGTCTCCGTCCTTGAAAGACCTGAAGCCCGTGGTGCCGGAGGATTGTTTTGGGGGGTTTAGGGATTAAAATAGGGTTTAGGGATTAGAGCTTAGGGATTATAGGGTTTAGGGTTTAGGGTGTAGGGTTTAGGGATGCAGGAGGACTGTTTTAAGTTTAGGGAGATTATTACAGGGTTTAGTGATTAGGGTTTAGGGATTATAGGGTTTAGGGATTAGGGTTTAGGGTTTAGGGTTTAGGGATTATTAGGGGCCGTGGTGCAGGAGGACTGTTTTGGGGGGTTTAGGGATTATAGGGTTTAGGGATTAGGGTTTAGGGTTTAGGGATCATTAGGGGCCGTGGTGCAGGAGGATTGTTTTGGGGGGTTTAGGGATTATAGGGTTTAGGGATTAGGGTCTAGGGACAGCGTTTAGGGCTCAGGCTATCGGGGGCCGTGGTGCAGGAGGAGACTTGTTGGCTGTTTTGGCGGTTTAGGGTTCAGGCTTCAGGTGTGTGGTGTCTGGCTTCCTACCAGGCCAGAACCGGCCCAGGCACATCAGACCCCAGCAAATCTTGGAGACCAGCTGAAATCCCTACTTCCAAGAACCGATAAGAACCTCTCACAATCCTATACCCTGAACCCTAAACCCTAAATGTAAACTCCCTATACCCTAAACCCTGAGCCACCCGAAGGACATGGAGGCCTTGACAGCTTGAGAAGGCCACCTTTTTCTCTGGAGACGGGACTTGGGGCCGTTGTGAGCTTATCGGTTTAGGGCTTTTAGGGTGTAGGGTTTAGGGGTTTAGGGTTTCGGGCGTTGAGGGCTTCACAGTTTTTGGGTTCGGGAAATTTCGGCGGGTTTCAGGGTTTTCGCATTGGGGGCGTGTGGAGCTTAAACCGGGTTTATTTCCTAAGCTCTTAAACCCTAAACCCTAAGCAATATACCCTAAATCCTAAACCCTAAGCCCTAAACCGTAGCTGTGCGGTGTTTTCAGGCTTCCTGTCATGACACGTTTTCGATTCAGGATTTTTACAACCTTCACACAGGGAAATTGTAGCCCACAGCTGCGAGCCTTTTGGGTTTAGGGGTTTAGGGGTTTAGGGCATGGGCGTTTAGGGTTTAGGGGTTTAGGGTTTTTCGGTTTGGTGGTTGGGGGTTTAGGGTTTAGGGTTGTCGTTTAGGGGTGAGGTTATTGAGCGCGCGAAATTGCAGCCCTTGCGTTGTGGAAGACCTCAAAATTGGCGATGAGGTGGCCGACACACGGCGCGAAGCTGATTCTGATGCGTCAACGATGTGTTAATGACGAGGCAAGCCGACTGGGACCCTAGCCAGAAATCCGGGCGGAGATCCTAAACCCTAAACCCTAAACCCTAAACCCTAAACCCTAAACCCTAAACCTAACGCATTGTAGAGTCCCTAAACCCTGAACCCTAAACCCTACACCCTAACGCTATATCTCAGTAACCCTCAAATCCCCCAGGTTGTGTCACTTTTGGAAGCTGTAGATTTCAAGGCAAGACACAACGAAAGACTTGCTACGTCTAGCTGGCTTTTCCGGCAATAGCCTCAGCTACAAAGTGATACACCTCAGCCCAAAACCCTAAGCCCTAAACCCCTAAACCCTAAAACCCTAAACCCAGAAAACCCTAAACATCTGAACCCTGAACCCTGAACCCCTGAACCCTAAACCCTACAGCATCAATGAGCAAAAGCCTCGAAAAGCTTAGCCTTTATCGAACCCTTAGAAGAATCCGTATCATGTAGGGACCTTAATAATTAGAAAAGGGTTTTGGGGATTGCTAATTACAGAATTATAGCAAAGTATACCCCCTAACCCTATTCAATTATAAAGGCCCCTACATTAAGCCCGAAACATGTAAAAACACTGTTGGAATCTTGGGCCCAGCGGTGTCCAACGAATTCAAAGTTGCCAATGGCAGGGGTGGCGGCCGGTTTAGGCTTTAGGGTTTAGGTCCAAGGTTGAAGGGTTTAGGGTTTATAGGGCATTACAGGGCATAATGTCAAATCTCGCGGCTGTGTATACAAGATCGAAGCCTGAATGATTACCAATATTATTCCTCAGGGTTCCTTGTTCTAGTTGTACGTATGCCCCAACACCCATTCTAAATCTTGGTTGGGTTTGCGCAGGATGTACGGTTCAGCGTGATAGTTGTGCAATGCTTTTAGCTTCGACTTATCTGGCATCAGTACGGGATGGGTTCAAAGACTTGCATAAGATGCGCTGGACTCTGCGTCGCCGCACTCCTTGCCCAAATTCAGTGAATGACTTGATCAAGGCCTGTTGCACCGACAAGGCGTGAATGTTTATTTCGGGGGCTGCTGCCTTCAAGAAGTCTTAAGCGGATTCCAGAGCGTGTCCACGACGAAGCGCGCGACACTGAACCTCCTTCTTGTCTCGTCATAGCATCGGCTCCCTCTCCAGTCAAGACCATCCTAATTTCTGAGCGAATATGCACCAGCATGTGGGAACTGGTCTAGGTGTGATTGCTGCAGCTAGAACTCTAGAACTCTAAATACAAAACAGACAGCACAGCAGAGGCTGTGCTTTGCGTCTCAGGCACTTAGCGACGAGAGGAGGGACCGTGCGCGCCTTGTAGCTGGCCAATCCCCAGTTGTAGTTCTAGGAGCAGAATATATGGCAAAGAGATGTCCATGTGCAGTCGTGATCCTCGTCAAGATGTACTTATACCCTCAACATTTACACCATGACCCTCAACATCTAAACCCCTAAACCCTAAACCCTAAAACCTCAAAGCCCTAATCACCCTAACTGCAGCTAACAAGAACCCTGAACCTTCAAAGACGCAAAAGACCAAAGCCCAAGCTCTAAGTTCGAAGTAACATAGGCTCGGAATTGCTACAAACAGTATTCAAATTCTCTCATGGTCCCTATATCAACATACCTATGCCACAAGATACCCAAAATACGATTCTAATTAGTAAGGCCTCTACATTATACAAACCAAAGCTGAGCTGGAAGCTTTACGACGACTGTTCATGGACTCCTCCTGCTGCTGCCAGGAGTTCCACTCTGCCAAAAATATGATTCGAGTCTCGTCATGCCCTGTTACTTTGCGGTTTAGGGTTTAGGGTTTAGGGTTTAGGGTTGCTCCGAGCGACTCAGTTTCACATGCCATGGAATCTGTCATGGGATCTTGCATCATCACTCAAGAACCGCCCCCATCCAGCATTTAGGACTTGCTTCATCCTGGTGCTATGTGGGCAGCATGGGGGCATCGAGCAGTCGAGCTCCGCCGCCCCATGCTGCAGCCCTCCAACTCCAAGCGGGCTGTGATGTAGGTACCGTCGGCAAATATGCGTCTGTCTGCCACGTGCATGGAATGGCAGTGGCAGTGCCAAATCGGGCTCAGAAAGTATTGGCAGTGGACCCTGCAAGGGATCAGACTTCGACGATTGACCTCCCTGTCGGGATTGACGCAAGCAGGTCCTACAAGTTTTCTTCGGTCTGCTATGTGAAGGAAGTGCTTGTTGCGGTCCCTCTTGATGCGGAGAAGATCTTGGTGCTGAATCCTTTAACTGGCCAGTCTCAATCCATCGGTCTGCCGTCAGGAATGGAGGCAAGCATGCCTTGCAAGTTTGGGTCTGTCTGCAGCGTGAACGGCCGAGCAGTGGCGGCACCAAGTGGTGCCGAGAAGATCTTGGTGGTGGATCCTGAAGATGGCCACGTCTGGGGCATTGAACTCCCCGTGGGCATTGATGCAAGCAAATGCTGCAAGTATCGGTCCGTCTGCAATGTGAACGGGAAGGCCGTCATGGCCCCCTGTAATGCTGAGAAGATCTTGGTGGTGGACCCTGAAGCTAGCCAGGCTTGGGCCATCGACCTACCCTTTGGCGTTGATGCACGCGCTGAGTGGAAGTATTTCTCAGTTTGCAGTTTGATGGGGAGGGCGGTGGCGGTGCCACTCGATGCCGAAAAGATCTTGGTGGTGGATCCTGCAACATGCCTGGCTCAAGCCATTCACCTTCCTGCGGGGATTGATGCAAGCAGATGCGACAAGTATTGTTCCGTTTCCGTGGTGAGTGGAAGGGCAGTGGCAGTGCCATGGAATGCCAAGAAAATCTTGGTGGTGGACCCTGCAACCGGCCAGGCTTTGGCCATCGACCTCCCCACAGGAATTGATGCCAGCAGGGCTCGAAAGTTTTTGTGCGCCTGCGCTGTGAATGGTAAAGCAGTGGCGGTGCCAAGTGGTGCCGAGAAAGTGTTGGTAGTGGATGCTGCAAATGGTCAGGCTTCCGCCCTCGACCTCCCTGCAGGCGTTGATGCAAGCAGACCCCGCAAATATGAGTCAGTTTGCAGCATGAAGGGGCGGGCCGTGGCGGTGCCATTTGATGCTGAGATGGTTTTGGTGGTGGATCCTACAGCTGGCAAGGCTTCGGCCATCGACCTCCCAGCAAGCATGCCATCTTGCAGCATGAACGGAACAATTTTTGTTGAACAGACTTTGGGTATGCGTTTGTCTACAGACTGCCTCAACCCCACCCTCCACCATAGTAATATTCACTGCTTGCCAATATACGCCGAGCTCCTGGCAGCTTTGCTGAGCTGCTGGGTGCACACGGACGAGCGAGAGCCACCGCAGATCGAGTATGCAGCCATGCACGTCCACCGGCTGATCCAGCCGGCTGGCGTTGGTTCAACTGTAAACTTTGCAACCGTGACAGCTGAATTGCCAACTGGCAACGTGCTGTACGTGGTCTTGAAGAGCAACTTCTGCATCCTGGACTTCCTGAGTTGGAATCTGGAGCTGGATCATACAATGACCCAGGATCCCGATTTCTTCATCCATGCTGGAGCAGCAAGAGCCGTTCAGGATGCGCTCTTCTGGCTAGAGCACAACTTGCTGGAGCGGCTGAAGGAGGCAAAGAAGAACCGGACGTGGAGGATTATCTTCACCGGCCATTCCTCAGGAGGAATGTATGCTGCAGTGCTCCTTTTCTTGTTCTGGAAGAAGATGGGATCGACGGATGTTGGTTGCTTGTTGTGTAACTTCGATGTGCAGTGCGTCACCTTTGGCTCTCCAATGGTCTTCGGTGGCGGCTCCCAGCAAGCTCAGGACTTCAAAGCATTTGCGCAGAAGCGAGCGGTGAACTACATCAACGGGAACGACCCCTGCCCCCGCGCCTGGGGTGCCATCAACCTCCGGCGCTTTGTGGAAGTAGCGGTCCAGAGTGCCGAGAGCGGACTCGTGGATGATCTTCGTAGCATCGACGGGTTGGTTGCCTCACAGGCCGTGACGGCAGCAGCACGACAGTTGCTGAGCCGCCCGGACTTCCACTTCATGGAAGATGTTGCGAAGAGATATCAGCATTTCGCGGAGTTGAGGGTTCTGAGCCCACAGAGTCAGTTCTCTCACTGGAGAGGCTTCTGTCACGCCCCAGACAGCCTCCGTGATCACTCCATGCTTGCTTACATGTCCCGTCTCTTCGATGCCTTCAGTGCGGACAGCTCAGAGTGCTATGTACACAGCCAGACTGCCCGAGTCGAGCAGTCTCGGAAGGTCTCGGTGCGCACGGGTGGTGCCTAGCTCTGCGATTGCCTTGTCCCTGCTGTCTGGTGCTTAGTAGGGAATGGGGGAATGGATCCCTATGATAGTCCCTTAAGGTCCCTTATAGTAGTCCATATAACCCATTCCCCCATTCCCTACTAAGCACCACACAGCCTGAGGCGGACACTCTCAAATGCGAAGACGTGTCTTGAAGCCCTATTAGCGATGCTGCTGGCATGTAGAGGCAGCTGCACACAGATCCTGGACCCAAGGCCCAATGCATGAGCAAAAGAGCAACAGCACAGTCAAGCCTCATTGCGCGTTGCGGCCTGCGACTCCCGAAGGTCGGTTGGGTCTAAACCCTTACCCTAAAGCCTCAAACCTGAACCCCAAACCCTAAACCCGAAACCTCAAAAATTGAAATCTACGCCCTAAACCCTAAACCCCAAACCCCAAACCCGAAACCCTAAAATTTGAAATCTACGCCCCAAACCCTAAACCCCAAACCCCAAACCCTAAACCCTAAACCCTAAACCCTAAAACCTAAACCCTAAACCGTAAAGTCCTAAATTCATCTTCGGCTTGCGCCTTAAGGTCGAGCGTATCTTTGTCATTTCTTGCACCGCGGGCCCGGGGATCCCACCGCCACGAAGTTGAGGGTTTAGGGTTTAGGGTTTGGGGTTTAGGGTTTAGTGTTTAGGGCTTAGGGTTTAGGGTTGAGGGTTTAGCTCAACTCTTGCAGAGCTCCACACACGTATATCTTGCAGACATGAGCGCGTACATGCGGTTAAGGTCTATAGGGTCTAGGGTTTATAAGGTTTAGGGTTTAGGGTTATAGGGTGTAGGGCGGCAGACAGGCAGACAGATATACTGATATACATATGTGCAGAAACAACCTGCAGGCAAACCGACATCTAGACGCAGAGTCATACACACATGCAGATGACAGTTGGGCATGAGGGTGAAGCAACTCCCTTAGACCCTAAAAGCCTAAACCCCATAGACTCTAGACCCTAAGCCCTAAACCCCTAAACCCCTAAACCCTAAACACGTAAACCCCTAAACCCTAAACCCCTAAACAAGAGCAGCCATGTGGCCACGTCTTCCAGACTTCGTCGGGCCACGGCAGTGGCGGCCTCACTGGAGGCTGGTTTAGGGTTTTAGGGTTTAGGGTTTAGAGTTTAGGGTCTAGGGTTTAGGGTTTAGAGTTTAGGGTTTACGGAAGCCCTAACCCACAGCCTCCATATATACTATACAATTATGGAATCATGTCCCCACAGCCCTATCATGGATGGATTTTTGGGACTTAATTCCATAATGGTAATATATATATATATATATGGAGCCTCAAGGTAAACCATCCTGTCCTAACCCCTATCAACCCTAAACCCTAACCCTAAATCCTAAACCCTAAATTAAACCCTAAACCCTGGTTGGTGTCACTGGGTCCGGTTTCGGGTCCGCGAATCTCTGCGCGCAGGGCTATGGACCATGCGATCTGCTGTAAGCGTTGTGTAGGGTTCCATGCCTTGCGCTTTTGAGCATCCTTTCCTTGGTTTAGGGTTTAGGGTTTAGGGTTTAGGGTTTATAGGGTTTAGAGAAGCTCTTGTGGCCGGTTCGCGTTCGCGTTCGCTAACTAGCATCCGCGAATACCGCGCGATCTTCGCAACTCTTGGAGTTGCGACCCTGTCGACACCGAGGTCTGTTGACCCCGTCTTAGGCCTCGGGTGAGATGTGCCCAGACTCAATCCACAACCCTCGCGTCCTGAAGGGGACCCAAAGATCCCTTCAAGGGACCCTAGTAAGGGACTCTTATAAAGGGTTCCAAGAAGCCCTCCACACACAAAAGGAGGGGTCCGAAGCTCTTGTCCTTGCCCGAAGTCGAAATCTGTCGGATATAACTCTGATGGTGTCGCCCTTGAAGCCTGGGCGAGCTGTAAAGCCCCAAGCGTCGCAAAACAGCTTTCCGCCCTGAACCCCGAACCTTTTCCCTAAACCCTAAACCCCAAACTCTAAACCTTAAGCCCCCAAAACCCTAAACCGTTCACTCCTGAAAAGGCCTTCTCTGGGGTCCTCAAACAAGTAGAGTAGCGTTTTTTGCTGTAGCTAACTGGAAAGGGGCTACAAGGGGTACATTGCAGTACAAGAACGATAGAGGAACTCTTTTTCAATAAGGGTGTTTTGTTCCGTTGATGTTATTTGGCTTCTTCTGCTTTTTATTCAGCGTGTAGGGTTTGTTTCGGCTTCAGGGACCTATCACTATCACTCGTGGTTGCAAAAAGGAAGCCATCACGGAGTTGGTTGACCTGTCAGAACTCTACCCATAGGCCCTAAAGTAGTTCCTTTCTGGGCTTCATATGAATCCTATAAGGTAATCCCAAAAAGGAACTACCATGGAAACACTAAGTCTAAGCCCTAGCACTGTGGTTCTGTGCTTCCGGACATGTTCGTTTGCGCGATTCTTGCTTCTGGCCGTCTGGACACTTCGCCATGTTCACTGTAGAATGTTTGTGATCTGCTGCTCCGGTGCTGTTCTGCCTCCAGGTCGCATGGAGTCGTGGTACCAGTCGTATCCGCATCACATGAAACAAGTACAAAGGCGTACACCCTAAACCTTGAATCCTATAAACACTACACCCTACACCCTAAAACCTCAACCCTAAATCCTAAACACTACACCCTGAACCCTCAACCCTAAATCCTAAACAATACACCCGAAACTCTAAACCCGAAACCGTCATATTTAGGATCTCTTTACGCAGTGTCTACGACTGCCCTGCTGATGGATCCCGGGAGCTGAAGGCAGCGATTCCTGCGTTGAGAAGCGACTGGCAATGCGTCCGGGGAGGAGTTTGGGTTCTTGTTAAGGTATTTTATTAAGGGGTTTAGGGTTTAGGGTTGGGATTTAGGGTTTAGGGCTAAATAAGGAAATCCTATGATTTACCATGGATCCCTATTATGGTAACTTAATATAAAATTCCTTAACAAGAACCCAGAGGAGTGGTTGGCGACTTTTGGAGAAAACTTCTTTGCTCTGGGATCTGAGCTTCACGCAAAGTGCAACTTCGCAGTAAAGCAGATACCGTTCAACTTTTTTTGGGGATATTACCTAAAGTCTCCATTGTATAGTTCCTTTTGTTGGTTTTACCAAATATGTATATGTATATATATATATATATATTTATATATATTAAGGATTCTATAAGGTATCCCCCCAAAAGGAACTACAATGGAGACTTTAGGTATAATCCCGATCTACTCCGACCTGTCGTCCCGCCTGGGATACTGGACACGTAAGGCAAAGCCTACTTTGAAAGTGCAACGGCGGTTTAGGGTTTAAGGTATAGGGTTTAGGCTTTAGGGTTTAGGGTTTAGGCTAGGGTTTAGGGTTTAGGGTTTAGGGTTTAGGGTTAAGGCAAAGCCTACGTGGAAAGTGCAACGGCGGAGATTCGAAACGTCCTCCCTTAAGCGCGCAAGCTTGGAGCTCAAGAATGTCCCGAAGTTTAACGCGGAGAGTCTACGCATCTGGGTTTTCATTGTGAAGGAGTGTAATGTAAGTTACCATAATCAGGAAACTTTATGGATGAACATAGAGCCCTGTTGTGGCAATTTGTCTTAGAGAACCTGTGGGTTGCATTAATCAGGAAACTTTTGTTGTTTGAAGTAGATCCCTGTTGTGGTAATTTAATGTAAATAGAACCCAGGCAAGGCAATCTGGGAATCATCCAGACTAGCAGGCAGAGCTACAGCAATCGACCTGCCTGCAGGCGATACAGCAGGCAGGCAGGGAGAATATTGGTCCGTCTGCAACGTGTTTGGCAAGGCAGTCGCAGTGCCGCGGAATGCTGAGAAGATTTCGGTGGTGGACCCTGCAACTGGCCAGGCTTCGGCCATCGAGCTTCCCACGGGCATCGATGCAAGCAGGAGGGAGAAATTTGTGTCCGTCTGCAACGTGAACGGCAAGGCAGTGGCAGTGCCTGCACATGCTGAGAAGATTTTGGTGGTGGACCCTGCCAATGGCCAGGCTTTGGCCATCGACCTCCCTGAAGGCATTGATGCAGGCAGGGCGGGGAAATTTCGGTCCGTCTGCAATGTGAACGGCAAAGCAGTGGCGGCGCCGTATGATGCTGAGAAGATTCTGGTGGTGGACCCTGCAGCTGGACGGGCTTCTGCCATCGACCTCCCCGCAGGAATCGATGCAAGCAGGACGAGCAAGTTTGTGTCCGTCTTCAGCATGAATGGCAAAGCAGTGGCAGCGCCATATGATGCGGAGAAGATTTTGGTGGTGGACCCCGCAACTGGCCAGGTTTCGGCTATCGACCTCCCGACAGGCATCGATCCAAGCAGGAGGGGGAAATTTGTGTCCGTCTTCAACATGAACGTGAAAGCAATTGTGGTGCCCTATCATGGAGAGAAGATTTTGGTGGTGGACCTCGCAAATGGCCAGGCTTCCGCCATCGACCTCCCTGCGGGCATTGATGCAAGCAGGGAAGGGAAATATCTGTCCGTTTGCAACGTGAACGGCAAGGCAGTGTCCGTTCCTGCCCACGCTGAGAAGGTTGTTGTTGTGGACCCTGCCACCGGCCACGCTTCGGCCATCGACCTCCCGGAAAGCATTGATGCAAGCAGGGTCGACAAATTCTGGTCCGTCTGCAACGTGAGCGACAAGGCAGTTGCTGTGCCTGTTGGTGCTGCAGCGATTTTGGTGGTTGACCCTCTGGCTGGGCAGGCCTCGGCCATCGACCTCCCCAAGGGCATTGATGCAAGCAGAGAGTATAAATATGTGTCCGTCTGCAACGTGAACGGCAAGGCCGTGGCAGTGCCGTTCAGTGCCGAGAAAACTTTGGTCGTGGAGTTGCCGCCCTCCAAAGCCGGCCAGCTCAACCTCAGCCTGCAGCAAAGCACTGTCCAGCAGACGCCCGTTTTCGCCGAGCTCGTGGCCGCTTTGTTGAGCTACTGGGTGTACACGGACGAGCCAGAACCTCCACAACTCGATCATGCTTCCATGCAGGTTCATCGAGTGATTCAGCCTGGGGAGTTTGGCTCGTCCGTCAAGATCGCAAGAGTCACTGCTGACCTGCCAACTGGCAAAGTGATGTATGTCGTCTTCAAAGGCACTTCGTACATCTTGGATTTCTTAAACTGGAATCTGGAGCTGAATCACGCCATGACCCAAGATCCCGACTTCTTCGTCCACGGCGGAGCAGCGAGCACCCTTCACGCGGCAAGCTTCTGGCTCGAGCAAGGCTTGCTAAAGCATCTGGAGGAGGCGAGTGGGAATGGGGTCCGTAGGGTCATCCTCACAGGGCATTCTTTGGGAGGAATGTACGCAGAAGTGCTACTCTACCTTCTCTGGAAGAAGATGGAAAGCCCTTCGCAAACTTCGAAGGATGTTGTGTCCTTTCTGTCCGATCTCGACATGCGGTGCGTCACGTTTGGCTCTCCGATGGTCTTCGGCGGTGGCTCCCAGCAAGCGCAGGAATTCAAGGCATTTGCACAGCAGCGAGCTGTGAACTACATCAATGAGAACGACCCCTGCCCACGCGCATGGGGCGCCGTTGATCTCCGGCCGTTTGTGGAAGTGGCGGCCCACAGCGTCCAGAACGGGCTGGTCGACGAGTTCGGCAGCGTGAAGGGCTTCGTTGCCTCGCAGGCCCTTGCAGCAGCAGCCCAGCAAGTCTTGAATCGACCGGACTTCCAGCTGTTGGAGGAGTTCGCTGGCCGGTATCAGCACTTTGCAGAGCTGAAGGTGCTAAGCTCAGAGAGGCGGGCCGCTCGCTGGAACGAGTTCCTGCTCACACCAACTAGTCTCGGTGACCACACCATGCTAGCCTACGTGAACCGGCTCTTCGACGCCTTCGATGACAGCCGGCCCGAGTGCCACATTCACAGCCAGATTGCCCGAGTCGAGCAGTCCCGGGACTTGCCTGAGCGCAGGGGTGGAGCCTAGGATTTCACTTGTGATCGCGGCTGGGATCACGGCTGCCTCGCGTGTGCAGCTCTTCTAAACGTGGATCGCGTGAGCGGCTTCGGACCTAGATGGCTTAGGGTTTAGGTTTAAGCAGGGTTTAGAGGGTTTAGGGGTTTAGGGCTTCAAGGGCCTAGGATTTAAACCTTAAGTGTCTAAGCCCTACAAACCCTTATAAATTGCTTAACAAGCAGATGTGTATAAGCTGTCAGACTTGAAGCCCAAACCCACCTCGGCCTCTACTAGGAGCCAAATATAAACCGGGGGTGGGACATCCCTGCTTTCTCATTCTCGGCTTACTGAGAGAGGGTATTGTTGAAGTCCCTTGTGGTCTTTATTTCGGTGATGTCATTATCACAGGGTTTAGGGCTAGGGCCCATTATGCATGCTGATGCAGCAAGCCCTCGGGCACGGACTTTGGGGCCTTGAGGAAGTCCTCCTCCCAGGATGTGGGAGTTTCAGAACAAGAAGGACCCTAGTTCATAATGAGGGTGCCCCATGCATCAAACTTAAACCCTGAAGCTGAAACCCTCCCCCACTTTCTGGAGCCCGAAACCCCAAACCTCAAAAGTTGGACCTTCCTCGCCACGTTTTGGAGCTGGGCTCTAGGGGATTAGGGTTTAGGGTTTTGGGCTTTTAGGTTTCAGTTTGAGGGTTTAGGACTTGAGGGGTCTGTATTTCTGGCGCCCAACTCTTCTCCCCAGCCCTCTGCCCTCTGCCAGGACTTTGGCTCGCCCGCTGCCGACTCTGCGAATTCGGAGAAGGCATCTCCCTCCCCTAAACCCTAAACCCTAAACCCGAGTACTCTTGGGCTCGGAGGGAGGAGGATCCAAGCAAGGTTCAGGGTTTAGGTGGGGGATTTTCAGTGTAAGAGAGTGGTCCGATTAGTGGAGGTTGTCTGCCGTGATCCAGATGCATTTCGAGCCCGGGGGGGCTGTAGCTTGCAGATTTGAAACTGTCATGTCGAGAAGTTTTGGGCCTTCTTCCCGATAGTTTGCTTGATCGTTTCTTGCACATGCGAGGGATGCTGGTGCAGCCTGAGAACGCGTTTCAGTTTGGCCTTGTGGGCTCCCTAAGCCCTAAACCCTAAACCCTAAAACCCTAAACCCTAAAACCCTAAACCCTAAACCCTAAAACCCTAGAACCCTGCAGTAGCGGACCGTCCTTTGGATCCCGGGCGAGGAAGGGCGCATCTCATCGCAGCGGCCCAGCGATGGGTTGCATTGCTGCGCCTTCCCTCTTCAAAAAGCCGTGCGAGTGGCAATGCACATGGGGAGGAAGGAGAGAGAGAGGGAGAGAGAGAGAGAGAGAGAGAGAGAGAGGGAGAGAGAGAGACAGAGGGAGAGAGAGAGAGAGAAGACAGAGAGACAGAGAGAGAGAGAGGGTACGGTGAATTGATTTGGGATCTATACAGTCTATACACTTCACGAGCATCGAAGCCGTCAGCCGTCAGCACTCTCCCGTGCTATCTCTCCTCGGGGGGGGGGTTTGGCCAGCACAAACTCCATGGCAAGGTCGTTGGAAGTGCTTAGGCTTAGAAACCTCCTAGTTTGTAATCCTTGCATCCTTTGCACCAGACATCTGCTGAAATCGTGGGATGAACACTCGTTCGACTGACCGCTTGCTCCGTCTGGCAGCTTCCACACAGTGGGGATGCATACTAATACGCGGTGCCGCATGGCACAACGCACAGTGGGGATGCAGTGAATCAGAGATCTTCCGCCCTAGTCCGTGATACTCAGGCTTCCCGGCCGTCTCTAGCCTCCCAGTCCTGCGCAGCAGAAAAGCTAGGCGCCGAAACTGTCCAGCGACGACCCCTTCGATGCGTTCTCGCACCGTCTGAGGGCCGAATACTCTGAAAATGCAGGTTTCAGGCTCGCAAAGCTGGACCTGTGCAATGTAAATCCAGCTGCATTTTTTGAGTCCCAAAATCCCCCAAAAGATCCATTCCGCAAGCTTGGAAGTCGAAGAATCTGGGCTCCAAGACCTTGCCTCAACTGGATCTGGGAAAACATTCAGCGGGCGCCATGTAAAAACAGCTTCAGCCAGCAGGCAAAGCGACAACCATCGACCTCCCCGCAGGGATTGATGCTCGCGGATTTCGGAAATTTGGTTCTGTCTGCAACGTGAATGGCAAGGCAGTCGCGGCGCCGTACGATGCCGAAAAGGCTTTGATGGTGGATCCTGCAACTGGCCATGCTTCGGCCATCGACCTCCCCGCGGGCATTGATGCAAGCAGGTCCGCCAAATTTTGGTCAATGAGCGACGTGAACGGCAAGGCAGTGGCGGTGCCGTGGAATGATGATGTAGGCACAGTTGGCAAATCTGCGGTTGTCTGCACCTCGAAGATTTTGGTGGTGGACCCTGGAACTGGACAGGCTTCGGCCATTGACCTCCCTCCAGGTATTAGATTCTGTTGGTGGACCCTTCAAGTGGCCAGGCTTCGGCCATCGACCTCCCCGCAGGCATTGATGCAAGGACGATAGTGAAATTTGTGTCCGCGTGCAACGTGAACGGCAAGGCAGTGGCGGTGCCGCTTAATGCTGAGAAGATTTTGGTGGTAGACCCTACAACTGGCCAGGCTTCGGCCATCGACCTCCCTGCAGGCATTAATGCAAGCAGGACTTATCAGGCTAAATATTGGTCCGTCTGCAACGTGAATGGCAAGGCAGTGGTGGTGCCGTGCGATGCTAAGAAGATTCTGGTCCTAAACCCTAAACCCTAAACCCTAAACCCTAAACCCTAAACCCTAAACCCTAAACCCTAAACCCTAAACCCTAAACCCTAAAGGTGGTGGAGTTGTCGCCAACCCAGGCTCAGGTGCTCAGGCTCGGCCTGCATCAAAGCACTGTTCAGGAGACGTCCGTTTTCGCCGAGCTCGTAGCAGCTGTGTTGAGCTACTGGGTGTACACAGACGAGCCGGAACCTCCAGAACTCGATCATGCTTCCATGCAAGTCCATCGAGTGATTCAGCCTGGCGAGTTTGGCTCAGCTGTCAAGATCGCAACGGTCACGGCTGACCTGCCGACTGGCCAGGTGCTGTACGTCGTGTTCAAGGGCACCTCCTACATGTTGGATTTCCTCAACTGGAATCTGGAGCTCAATCATGCCATGACTCAAGATCCCGACTTCTTCGTCCACAGCGGAGCAGCCGGCACCATTCAGTCGGCAAGCTTCTGGCTTGAGCAGACGTTTCTAGCGCGGCTGGGGGAGGCGAGGGAGAACGGGGTGCGGAGAGTTGTCTTCACAGGTCACTCCCTTGGAGGAATGCATGCAGCACTGCTGCTCTACTTGTTTTGGAAGAAGATGGACGATGCAGCACGAGATGTTGTGTCCGTTCTGTCCGGATTCGATGTGTGGTGCGTCACCTTTGGGTCTCCGATGGTCTTTGGTGGTGGCTCCCGGCAAGCTCAGGAATTGAAAGACTTCGCGCAGGGGCGAGCCGTGAACTACTTTTACTTTTACGAGAACGACCCCTGCCCACGCGCGTGGGGTGCCGTGAATCTCCGGCGCTTCGTGGAAGTGGCTGCTAAAAGTGTCCAGAACGGACTGGTGGACGAGCTGGGCAGTGTCAAAGGGTTCGTTGCCTCGCGGCCGTGGCTGGAGCAGCGCAGCAAGTATTGAATCGACCGGATTTCCAGCTGTTGGAGGATTTTGCCCGACGGTATCAGCACTTTGCAGAGCTGAAGGTGCTGAGTTCACAGAGGCAGGTCCGTCGCTGGAAGGAGTTCCGGCTCACCCCAGAGTGTTTACAGGACCACTCCATGGCAGCTTATGTGAATCGGCTCTTCGATGCTGTTGACGACAGCCGGCCCGAGTGCTATATTCACAGGCAGTCTCCGGCTACGCCCAAACAGTCAAAGCTTTGATGGCTTCGCCAACAGTCGGCAGCCGACTTGAGTGCCATTTCGACAGCCAGACCGCCCGAGTCGAGCAGTCTCGGAACATGCCGAAGTTCGGGACCGGAGCCTAGTCCAGCCGCAGCCATCCCTTCTTTTTAGATTGATTTGGATTGGCCGGCGAATTAAAAGGAATGTTGCCACCAATCAGACAGAAGATGCTGGTAGAGGCAAGTTCGGAAACAGACGTGTGCGACATATTGGCCTGGGTTCTGTTGAGAAAGACATGGCTGCGAGAGCACGAGCCTGCCAGAACCTCATCATGCATGCAGGACATTTTGGATTGCGAGAACAGGTGTCCAGAATCATTGCTTTCGTCACGTGCCGGCAGCAGAAGCAAGCTGTAAACGTCACCCGTAACCACATTCCACGACTCTAGCCGCCGTCGGCCGCAACGATGGATGGTGTCTCTCGATCTCGGGAGTCATGCTCCGATCATCATGCGTGACTCACAGCCTCAGGAGATTTTTATATATCCAGTAGAATCAGTAGAACTGCAGCTGTGATCCACATCTGGTGTGGCCGCGAACTGCCGTGGCCATGTTTGCCGTGAATGCTCGCCGGGCTATCGCCGTCGCCGCTTGACTGCAAAGAGCTGTAGAAAATCTGACCTCCACTTTATTGCCACTGTCCGAAGAGAGCGAACTTGTGCGATGCAGAGATGTGGGATAAGTGGCTCCAGAAGCACAAAAATCTTAAATCCCAGAAGTTTTCAATTCAGTTCTTTACCACGGCCGAAGCCCTCCTGTCTCCTGACTTTCAGTGTAAACATGAGCCCCAAGCAAAGGCTCAGGGATTCTCGGCCTTTGGTTTGTGTGCCCCCGAAAAGCCAAGCATCCGAGGCCTCAGCTGCGACGGTGAAGCTGCACTGGGATCGGAGAGAAGGCGACGCACCGGAAGATTCTGGGATTAGAAGTCGGTTTGTAGGGTTTACTCAAATCAGTTAATATTCAGGGCTGGGGTTTATAGTAGGGTTTAGGGCACATACTCAAGGGCGAAGCATCGAAGTGTAGAACCCACTTATAGTTTTGGGTGACCTGTGAGTACGAGGCTCTCTCTAGACGCCATGTTTCCCTGAAAGCACGTGGCATACTTTGGGTAAGTGCGGCCTTGCAAAGTTCTGAAGCCCAAGACGGTAACCCCTTAACCCCTAAACCCTCAAGCCCTAAACCCCCAACACCCTTAGACCCTATAGCCATAGGCCCCATTGTCGTTCCTTTTACCTAACAGGAACTACTCGTACTATGGGGCCTATGGGTATAAACCCTAAACCCTAAACCCCTAAACCCTAAAGCCTAAAACCCCTAAATCCGAGCATAGAGGCGACCGCGAGCGCTGGGAACGCAGCCGACCCCTGCGCTGCGAGGAGCTGACTCTGCAGGCCGGAAATCATGCCTGCTTAGCTTTAACATAGGGGTATGGGTTTAGGGTTTAGGGCTTAGGGTTTGGGGTTTAGGGTTCAGGGTTTAGGGTTTACGGTTCGTTTAACGGCTACTACAAAGGTTATGAACAGGTTGAAGGCTTCAACCGTGCAATAGGTTTTCAAAATGGTTTAGCGGAACGTTCTGGTCTTCAGGATTTACGGCTTTCAGGCTTTAAAGCTCTAGTGAGTCTGGCGTCACAATTGCAGGTTTGGAGTGAGGTGCTGTGGGGTTTCTTGGCTCTTCTGGTTGGCTCTTTGGACTTTAACTTTTTGGATTTCTATATGAACTGTAATAAGTCGGCCAAAAGTTTAACTTTTAGGAGGGGTTCAGAAGTCAGCCAAGGTTTCATGAACTGTGAGGCTCCTGTTAGGGTTTAGGGTTTAGGGTTTAGGGTTTAGGGTTTAGGGTTTAGGGTTCTACAGAACTTTTCAAAAGGGATGTTCTGTCCGATGGTTCTCAGGAACATAAACCTATAGTCTCCGTTGCAGTTCCTGTTTTGGGTTGCCTTAGAGTATCCTAAACATAGAACGGGTTGAACCAAAAGCGGCACTACACTGGAGGCTATAGGTAAGCCCTAAATCCTAAACCCTAAATCCTAAATCCTAAAACCTAAAACCTAAACCCTAAACCCTAAATCCTGAACCCTAAACCCTAAACATGACATCCTAAACCCACATGCCGAAGGTCTGTCTGCAGATTTGACCCGCGTTAGCTCAGCGACTAGAGCCTGTGTATGCTTCATGATGAGAGGCGACTGCACAGCGACTCCTCCCCCACGCTGTTCAGCCGGGTGCCTCAGAACACATCGCCGGCCCTCCCTCAGCATTGGATGGAAACTTGCAGCACATCCTGGCATCTTCAGGAGTGTTGGAATCATACTTCGTGGCTTCGGGTTTTGTTTTTCGGAAGTTCCGGAATGGGTCGAGCTTCGTACCTTCTTGCCAAAGCCTCTAGCCCAGCGCGAGGTCAGCCACGCATACTGCAAGGTTTGTATCCCAAGATCTCGCACTCTGTGAAACTAGGCACCTGATGCATTTCAACACCCTGCAGCATCTTCAATATGCTAACCTTCCACGGCATGTGTACCCTACAGTTTCCTCGCAAGCATTGCGCATCGCAAACACCCCTCAACCCTAAACCTTAAACGCCGCAAACCTTAAGCCCTAAACCTTAAACCCTAAACCCGAAACCCCTAAACCCCTAAACCCCTAACCCCCAAACCCTAAACCGCCTTCAGCCACCCCCTCTTTTGAAAGAACAGGTTTGCCGAACTTCATGGCCTGCTCTATGGGGCCAAGGACGCCAAGAATAGAATAGGGGCCATAATGATTACCTATTCTATTGGGGGGGTTCCTTATTACAACTATACTATAAAGGGCACAAGACCCTATTCCAATTACAATTATTATGAATAATCATTACCTATCCTATTTTGGGGTTTCCTTATCAGATTATCATAATTATAGTATAATATGCCGCAAAACCCTATTCTAATTACTAAGGCCCCTACATTAGGGGGAACTAGAGTGTCTTCGGTTTCAGGTTTGAGGCTTGGGGTAGGGTTTAGGGTTTAGGCTTTGGGGGTTTAGGGGTTTAAGGGTTTAGGGTTTGGGGGTTTAGGGTTGAGGGTTTCTCGGGTCCACAGCAGACGGTCTTGATCGGTCTGGACCCTGCTGAAGAGGCCTAGTTCGGCTGGACCTGCGAGGGTCCAGCTCTTCAGGCCCACAAAGTGACCCGAACCACTCAAGAACTTTCGGTGGTATTTGCGCCCCTCAACCCTAAACCCTAAAACCCTAAACCCTAAACCCCAAACCCAAAACCCAAACCCCAAATCTTAAACCCTAAACCCCTAAACCCTAAAACCCCAAACCCCAAGTCCTAAACCTCCAAACCCTACAACCCTAAACCCTAAGTCCAGAAGTATGAACTCTTATGAATAAACCTAAGTTTGTCTTAATGGATTAAGCAACCATAATATTATTGAATATAATATGATGCTTGTTCCTACCTTATTGCCTAA